TTGAATGATTTTAAATGAAATGTGTTTATAACCATTTTGGGGTGTGCATCATAAATTTTGTATGCTACAAAAGGAAGGGCTTTCAAAGCGAGCAGAGGTGCACCAAGAACGAGAGAGCTTACTGTTTTCTCCATGCCAAGTGCTGCTATAAACATCTCACGTTTATTGCCTCACGCAGCCTTTTAACTGGCCATGGATACAGTTGGGATTTGCCCAGAGGTGGGAGGTTGATAGTTTCTTTCCATGACTTCTGAATGTCTCTTTTTAGTGTTGTCTGCTGGATTCATGTTTAAACTGCATGTTCATGGAAACTGTAAATAACACAGTCTTTATGTAAAGAAGTGGTTAATAACAGTAACTCTGGTTAGAAAGACCTGCCACATAGGCTTATGGGAAAAGGAGCGTGTGTGCGTATTGCTATGTACATAGCTAAGGCCATTAGAGCGGCGATCTGTGTCATAACTAGTTTCTGCTGCATTTGATTAGTAACCAAGAAAAAGCCATATTAATCATTTCATTGATGCAGGGGGTCACGTTTTACAGTTTTTCTTGCCTCTTTTCCTCTCTTGGCAAAGACCCTTTCCTTCATCACTGAGAAAGTCAGCCAGCACCTGATATGATTGAAAACCAGTCAGTACCTGCCTCACTTTATTGAGATGAAACACGGAGCTTGTAATGTATCTCAGTTCCTCCGTGCTTGACAGAACAGAGATAGCTTTTTCGCGGTGGCTGCGCTTCTTGAGATACGCTCATCTTTCAGAGATCGTTAGCTTGTCAGTCCCCCCGAGTTCCGCTGGCCAGGCGGTGAGAGCATGGCTGCATTGCCATGGGACCCGGGGCAGAAGGAGCTACTGTCTGCAGAAAGCCACGTGTTCACGGTTGCACCTGCTTTTTGTTTAAACAGGAGGATGGCTTTATTCAAGAGTTAAGCGTGGCCATGCAGCTTCTCAGAAACTGTCTGTACCAGAACGAAGAATGTAAGGTGAGTCCAGCTCCTGCTCCGTCCTTGGCCAGCGGTGCCAGCGCTGAGCTGTTAACTTCCGCGTGAGCTCACGTAGGAGGGAACGTGGAAAACGCTTTGGAGTTTGGTTTAGATGCACAGTTGATTGTTCCTCAGGCTCAGTGTTAATTCTCAGAAATCAGAGCACCTGATCTAGACGTCCTTCCATGCTGGTGCTCTTTCTTGTGTATGTCAGCATTTTAGCTCTGCCCCCGAGACCGACTCGGGCAGCTTGAGCAGACTCGAGCCCCTTTCTCCACTGTTACGCACTTCAGGTTCTTTATGAAGGTGGAATGGATGGCTGTGCGTGTCTTTCGAGGCAGGGTGTTTTCAGAGGCGGTTGTCAGCTGTCCACGGGAGTAAGTGGAGATGTCTGCGTCCATAAGGAAAGAATGTGAGTGTGTGAGAACGCTTTCTGTTCTTGCCGAGCGGCCCGGTCCTGCTCAGGGAGGCTTTGCTCCCAGCTCCGCCCGCGCCCTGGCCCTGCACTCAGCCCTCTGCCTGGGAGCCATGGACATACTTCGCCGTGTCTGTGAGCTTTATGTCGTCATTTAAAGCACTGCGTTAGTACTGTTCGTTATACAGGATAGAACGTCTGGAACACTGGAGTTACTTGTCACAGTCATACGACACTTTGAAGCGCTAACTTTCACACAAATAATGTGGAAAATGAATAAGACAAAGAGAAATGATGAAAGCTCCCTTTAAAAACAATTCTTACCTGTTTTGCTTTTATTTGTGATAAAACTGGAAAAACCATACTATATCTGCAAATGAACATCTTGAGCACATATTCCTTAAGCGGTGTTAAATGATGTGTGTTCAAGACACATGACTAACAATTTACATTTCAAAACAGTTTGATGGGAATTAAGTATTTATGCATTTCATTAAAATTTTCCCATATAAGCTTTTTACTCAGAATAAACGTATTCTGTTATTTACTAGATTTATAATCCCTCGAGCTAAATAGTATAATTGTAACTGGATACAGTTAGTATTTTTCCAAGATGCCTCACTCAGGGAATGCTCTGGAACACTGTTAGTTTATTTACTTTTTACCCACAATATTTTATTTATTTATGTTTCAGCTTTTATTTAACAATACAGCTAACTGGAACACTTTCTGGGTAGGATCTGTGGGTTTATGGGATGCTAGCGTGGGTGCTGGCTGTAAGTGTAGGGTTCACGTTTGTAACACATTCACTGCCTATAAAGGTGTCACGTCTCAGTCAGTCAAAGCATTTCTGCATTTTCAAGTTGTCGATAAGGAATAAATCCAAAGGAGAATATTTAGATGACCCTTGAGTAAAAATGCAGTCCGATGGGGCAAAGATTCTTAATTTCTCTTTCTGCTCCTTAGGTTTATGGCTTACCTGAGGTTTATTACACTCCCATTACTCATTGTTGGTCACTCTTGCGGAAAGTCACCGAGCCGCCCACACCCCCACCACCCCACTGTCTGTATTTGTGTACCATTGAGGAGTTTTCCTACTGGGAAGATCCTGGTGGCTGTGAGCTAATGAATTGAATGATGGGCAAGGTTAGAGGTAGGCGACTGTGGTACAAGGAAGGCCCGGAGACGATGAGACCCTAGCCGGGGCAGGTAGAAAGCGGACGGAGTGGGGAGTAAACCTGAGACATGGAGGAGGAAGCAGAAAAATGCGGAGGCCTTGCGGCTCTAGTTCAATGCAAGAGGACCTAATAGAGCAGAGCGTAGGTATGAGAGAGCCTAATGTTCAGGTTTGCACGTTAGCGTGAAGCGTCTTTGGGACATCCGGGTGGGAAATGGCTGGTAATCGGTAGATTACATGGATCTGGGGCTCGGATGGGTGAAGCAGGATATTAGGAGTTATCAGTGAATAGATGGTGTTTGTAGCTGTGACTGTTGTTGAAATTCCCCAAGAGAGTATCTAGTGAAAGCCTAGCTCATGTCCTTGGAAAATACAACTGGCGTTGAAGAGAAGGCATCAAACACCTGAGGAGGGAATGCTGGAAAGAGCCTGGAGATGACCCAGGATAGAGGCTCCATGGAGGGGAAGGAAAAGAGACCTTTTGTAGGTCCCACAGTTCCTGAAGGTTTGGTAACGACAAAGATAGGAGTGGTCTTCTAGCATGATCAGGACAGACAATAAATGTAGGCTGACAAATAAAGGATGGGCAATGAAATGAAAGCAGTAAGAGTATTCTTTCTAGACGCTTAGTCATGAACAGCAGCATTAGAGGAAGGTAGCCTGTGAGTCTGTTTCTCCTGACGTGTAAAGCGCTTGACTGCAAACAGACGAGCAAGCTGGGACCTAGTCGCTAGAGACAGGAAGGAAAGAGCTAACTGGCAGATCGAGACCTCCGAGGAGGCGAGCGGGGATGTGTGCCCAAACCCAGGTGGACATATCGGTGTCCAGCAGACGAGGACCAGCTGCCCCTCACTGCCAGGCGGGAGGGTGAGTGGATGGGAACTCAGGGAAGCTGTGGGCAGAAGGGTGGAGGAGAGAACGAGCTGACACCTAACCGTNATCAGGTTCCAGTGGATTCCATGGACTAGGGGAAACCTAGCCATACCTTTTAAATAGAACACATCTCTTATTCACAACAGTCTTGCTCCTGATTAAGCTTTCCTTCAAGGCAGTCTGCGGTGTATGCTTTGCAGAGCTATGAAGGGAGGCCCTGCGGAGAGATTCTGAAGAGAGCCGCTGCGAACGCGCTGATGTCGCTCCTGGCTGTCAGCAGAAGAGCCCAGAGGCTGGCTTTGGAAGGTGAGCCTCAATGCGGACACATCAGGTGCTTTCATGGCCTGTTTTCAATTCACGTACTTTACTGCTTGTTCATTTTAATTTTCTTTGGACTCAAAATGTAAAAAACTTGTACTCTCAGAGTCGCTACAAATAGTTGAATATGTATTACTTTTAAAATAATATAGGTGTAGATGATTTGTGTGCAGTGACTGCTGCTCTAGTGAATATATATCTAAATATTCTAGAGGCTTAAAAACACATTACTCAACTTTATAATAATTAAATACTAGTAACCACAAGCACATGTGGCATACCTGGAAAAGGAACATAGTTTTGAAAGTAATTACAGTAGCATTAGATGGTCCTAAATTTTTATATACATTTCCCCCGTAAAGTGTTGTAACTTCTCATCTGGAACCAGGGAACGCAGGTCTTAGAGTTGAAAGAGTAGCAGCATCATCAAGCCCATTAATTTCAATTGTGATTTTCTCCTACTGCAAACCAAGCAGGCTTCACAATGTAACTTAGATGTTGGGAAGATTGTGCTAAGCTCGAAACAAGTAGGTTTTAGCATTTTAGTTCTCGTACAGTTTTTCCTCCGGTTCATTAATCTCACTGAAAAAGTTAAAATCAAGTTGGTCAGAAATGTGAGATACTTTTTTGAGAGTGTGGTCGCTACACGTGGTTTTCACTGGCTTGGAGACAGAGTGTCCTGTGATTGTTTTGGTGTTGCCTCGCAGCGGACCTGATAGACAGCTGCATGGAGCGGATGAAGCACGTGACCGCACAGCTGAGCCTGGACTCTCTGAGGCCTGGGAAGGCCGTGCTCAGGAGGAAGGTAACCGGACTGCAGTGCAGGGATGGGGAAAGGCCACTCCCAGGCCGCCTCTCCCATGTCTGTGGCTTGTGCACGACCGATACTGGCTGGACGTGATTGCCTGATTTAGAAGAGAGGCAGCCAGAGAAATTAACGGGATCTCCACATTCGCAGGCTTGGGGGTGGGGGTTTTGTGGGTGTGTCTTAGCTCTCAGTTGAATGATTTTAAATGAAATGTGTTTATAACCATTTTGGGGTGTGCATCATAAATTTTGTA